ATTTGATATATTTATCTTTAGTCAATACGTTAATCATTAAAAAATCAATACAATTTATGTAACAAACTTTCTTTACGCAAATATTTTGAAATAAAGTTTGGTGTCACATATTTCGTTATTAGAACAATTTATTTGTGATAAGCATTTTGTATATAATCTAAAGTAATCACTCTGAAATTAAGTTATAAAGAGATAATGTCCAGAACCCTAGACCTTTGTTTTATGCTACTTAGCATTCGTCCGCAATGTTTGCCTGGAATCCTAAAGGAACTAGCACCCTATTGACAGATTCCATATAATTCGATCATTACTAAACAGAACAGACAAACCAAACATTTATAAATTGCTCATTGATTAACTGTGCATGTTAACGACTTGTAGTGTACGTACTGTGGTGTGAGCTACTTATAAGTAGTATATGACGTGAGTGTCAACGTAATGTCTGGCAGCGGGAGATGGGGAAGATCAAGAAAGGAAGAGTTAGAACACAATGGAATTTGTATGAAATGCATGATTAGTGACAATGGATTGATGTTGTTTGCAACAGGAACAGTCCAGTTCAATATGATGAACTGATATTTTGCAAATGAACGATTAACGATATGGTTTTCCTATTTTACTGAGTGAGTAACTGTAATTTTCGTTAAATACAATTCGGTTGCCCCACCTGTGTTCTCGTTCACTACAGTACTACTATGTTTAGCTCACATGAATTGTCCTAGTTTTCGGACAAGCTAACCAAAATTTTTTTATCCGAGTTACCATTCCCATGTGTTTTTAACCTTGTCAATTATTCGCTTATATCTTGTTTGTTTTTGCTTGAATGTGTGTGTGTGTATGTGTACTGCTTAGTTCGATTGTTATATTATATGTCTAGCCTATTTTTGCCAGACTATAAATACTTAGTCCATACCTTATCGCATTGCATTAATTAGCTCACTCAACTTCTCTTCTTCACTTCGCTTTGGTTTTACGTTTTGTATCCTTATGTCTGTTTGTGTAAACGATTTGGTATGAAATAAACTTACCTTAATCACCGCTATCGCACAAACGGGGTTCGTCTAATTATGATATACGAAAATTGAATGGAAGATTTATTTCATAGTATATTGCATCGTTCATCCAAATTAGAGTCAGATCCCTAGTCACTAAAAACTGTTCAGTAAAATATGCATATACACAAAAACCTAACTAACCTTCCAACTGTTTAACACAGTTGTTAAGTTACTTGCGCCTGTTACCCCTAGTGGGGCATTGGCCTCCGATCAACATTCTCTAACCTACTCTTTCCTACGCCTTCTTTTCTAGTTCTATCTGACTGTTCTTCATTCATCTCATATCTGTCTCCGATTCTCGACATAATGTGTTTTTCTGTTTTCTTCCTTTCCTTTTCTTGGTAGTCTTATCAGTGCTAATGGCCTAGTGACTGATGGAATCTTGGTACGGATACATAAGGCTCGACTGGCTTTTAAATACTCGTGTCACTTAATGCGTACGTGAGATATCCGTTTGCTAACTAAAGGACGAGTGTACTGTGTAGCAGTTCGATCTGTCCTAATATATGGATGTGAAGCATGGCCGGTAAGAGTTGAGGATATTCATAGGTTACTGGTTTTCGATCATAAATGTCTCCGAAGCATTGCTCGCGTATCCTGGGACAACCGATAGGTAATGCTATCGTTAGGAAACGAGTTCTAGGTAGGGATGGCAAATCGATAGATGAAGTATTGAAACTTCATCAGTTGATGTGGTTGGGAAATGTGTTACGAATGCCCAACCACCGACTGCTGCGACGAGCTTTGTTTTGTGGTGTAGGAATAGGTTGGGAGAAAGCTAGGGGCGGCCAAACCAAAACATGGCACATATCCATGAAGTGTCACTGAAAAGTGTACTCAACCATGTTGGTAGGTGTAGACTACCTGGTTAGGGTCCGCGAGACAACAGTATTCGATGGTTAGAGACCTTGAACGATATGGCTCGAAATCATTTACAAAGGCGTAGATGCATCCATTCTTTGTGTTCTCTGAAATTCCAATCTTCTGAATTCCTCATCACCTCTATCTTTCTCTTTGTAAATTTACCTCACTGAACTATACTTCTCGAATAATATCTTCGAACCTTAATCTTCTCCATTACCACTGATACTTCTGTTATCTGTTCCACTATGGGATTTGAATCGACAATCGCGTTTCTGTGTCAATATGGAACGGCAACTTGAAATGAAGTACGTACGTACGAACTTTTACGTCATAACTGACTGACTGCCCGCTTTTCCCTTGACCTTGAGGACCCAAAGTGAGGGCCTGCCTTGTGACAGTGTAACACATGGACTAAGAGAAATTGACCAATTTGAATAACTATATGAACTCTGAAAGAATTCTCATTCTAATTATAATGTTGTTCAGTCTGAAGTATCTTGGATATTAATTATCTAACCATTTAATCAAGAACTAAATATCAATAACCAAATGTGTGTTGATACGATTGCAGAGTGGGACAATGTCCTTTACAATATTAAGCTATTCCATTGTCATGAAACAAGACGAATAGAAAGTTCAAATTAGTTAAGTGATTCATTAGAAAAAGACATAGTTTACTAAAAGAAATGTGTACACTTTATCTCCTAACTTCCATTTATAAAACATGCAGATTATTAGGCTGTCTTCTCCGACATATCTTCTTACTTTCAAACATTTTGATCCTGACACTCTTCTCTTCAACAGTAACTTCAAGGTAACATTGTACTGTAATATCTACTGCATACTACTTAAAGTCTTCGTTGTGAGTAATATACATCTCACTATTATAACAAACTCATAAAGTTATGTCTGAGTTCACTAACTAGCCAATTCTGACGTGATCTGTTTAATATGCATCAATATTGATTTTTAATTATGAAGAATATGATAATATCGATTAGCGTTTTCTGCACTCAACGCGGACAGTTCTCAATTGGGACATCATCAAATAGACACCATAAATCTTGATTCTTTTTATATTTCTGGTTATAAAAATTAAACCGCTGTTATTAAAGGGCATTTTTACATTGGTGTTCAGGAGAATGAAGGAGAGAGCCCACCTCTTAATATTTCAATGTCAACAATTCGTCTCAATCCCTTGGTGCAACCACACAGAGGTACCTGATACCCTGGTGGACTATTCACACTATTTCTATACACTAGTACACATGTAGTGATTATTTTCGATCCATGATCGTGTCAATCAACATGCACAGCATGAACAGGCCAGTTTTTGACCCATCCGACTTAGATGACTGTCAAACTTATGATTATTAGGAATGGTGATATACATCAGTACAGCTACCCAATGACAACTGGCTTCGGAAATGTGGCAAGACAACCACCAAAATCAATGAATGTGGTCACCTTGCAAACCAAATTTGTATCTGGACTATTAGCAATATGTACCAGAGTAATGCCAAACCATCCCTAAAATGTTAAAAACGAACTTGTGGTCTCATAGGAAAACTTCAGCTCTATATAGTAATATAGCATATGGTATACACATAGTATGGCATAGGATAGCAAGAGATGCAGTCCAGCTTGATGCAATTGGGTTCAAACACTCTTATTACCCTTTCGTAATACAGAAATTTTCATTGTTCGACTATATAAGACCTGAGTTAGGGTTACTATCCCTATCATACATCTTTAGTGATTATTTTTGGCTTTAGTTTGTCTTTTTCCAACAATGTACACTTATGAATTCATGAACGGAGATCCAACACATAAACTACACATTATGAGGTAAAAGAAATGACATTTAGGCCACTGATTCTGAAACTGTTCCCAGTTATTTGATGGCATTAAGAGAGACATTCATTATTTATGTTCCTCAGCGATAGTTCTCTTACTCTCAATTAAGTTGTGTACTGTGAACGAAGGCAGTAAGATCCGATGGAATAAACTATGTATTTGTAGAAGAATCAGTTTAATAACCGAAATTTAAATGCCTTATCTTCACAAACTTCCATCTATAAAACAAGCAGATTTATTGACCGTCTTCTAATGCTCAAAACACACTTAGATTGAGCAATACATCCGGATTTGACCCTCTTCTCTGCAACAGTAGCATCAGGGTGACATTTCACTGTGACATCCACTGCATACTACTCACAAGCCATGCTACGAGTAGTATGCACCACCGTTACACTATACATACAAACTAAATCATTATTTTCTCTACTCTTGATTCAACTCAATACATAAGACTTGTTTTCGTCTCTCTCTCTCCGTCTAACTCGTATGCACCCCATTCCCACTGAGATAATAATAGTAATAATAATCACATATAGGCAAGTTTCATAAACCATTTGTTGACATTTGTACTAACAATATTCACAATTGAAATAAAGTTTTTTTTTGAAATTAATAATCTACTACACATACATTTTCATACACCCTTCCGCACACACACACACATCAACTTACAAACAAGTACATACACATACAACGCACACACACACACATAAGTAGACATTTTTCGCGCTATACATTTTGTTTAGATAAGTAATAATCTATCTATCAGTAAGCATAATGAAAAAAAGAATTCGTTCTTAGACTAGTCATGCGTACACAGATAGATAGATAAATATGCAAATGTACTACTGATATCTTTCAATCGATTTCCAATCCTTTTTGACCGACTATTTCGTTCTATGTCTATCTATAAAACAGTTTCACAATGTATGCGAAACATTCCGTTTGGAATTCAGTTTTTAATTGAAAATATTGAACATTGATCAGTGGTGTATTTTTCTCCCGCTCAACAGTTGAAAAGTGTATTTGTTTTAAAATTTAGCTCATTCAAAAAAAAGAACCATATGAATGCTGTTTCTGATAAATATTTACAATTAATAGGATTGAATCGAAAAACGATTTGGTTTTGGAAACAACCATATATACTGACTGACTGACTGTACAACAGTGAAGAATATGTGTTAATTCCGGTAGTAGTAAATTTTTGAAATTGATTTTTATTCAATCGATTGATTTAAATTCAACAGGGGATTTTTGATAATCCATTGTAGAATCTGGTTCAATTGGTTCATTTGTATCCGCGTTATGATCAATTTTCAATGGACATGACATGGTTGTTAAAGTATCATCATTGTGTAGTTGTTGTTTTAACTTTTCAGTTGTATATTGATTATCAGTCATAGTTGAACTAGATGGTTTGTTTAATATTGTTTTACTGTTGTAATTTATAAATTTGTTTTGAGCGGTAAAATCCTATTTGTTTTTAAGAATAAAAAAAGGGATATACAAAGAATAGTAGTCAGTTTATGTAAATATTAACAAGGGAAGGTTAACAATGTCAGTATTTAAAATGAATATTGAGATTATTGAAAGAGTACTAAATTCAAGGTATCAATTTTGTTGGAGATATTAGATCTCCAGAACTCACTTGGAAAAAAGTCCTAATTTTGTAAATTTATTGCTGAAATTTTGAATTTTTCGTGTTTACGCGCCAAGAGACGCTTTTAGTTAACGACCTTCAGCTTACACATTTCCCACTCGGAAAATCCTTGACTATCATTGGTTGATGGATTATTTTAGTACGCTATCTCGTGGCCTCACCAAGGGTGTTGCTATCATTGTATAAATAAGCTTGATTTGAGTGCTTAGCAACCTCGTTTTTGTCTGGGTGCCTTGTAGAATACATTCTCTACGCCTTATGAAGACTTTTTGCTTTAGTTAGCCAGGGTTGGGACAAACGGATCAAAATAGCTTATCGTGTCACTGCATCATTGATCTACGCTTTGTTTACCGAGTAAGGTGAACTCATAATGTGGTGCGAGCTACTTATAAGTAGTATATGACGTGAGTGTCAGTCAACGTAATGTCTGGCAGCAGAAGATGGAGGAAGATCAAGAAAGGAAGAGTGGGAACACAATGGAATTTGTATGAAACGCATGAATAGTGACAATGGATTGATGTTTTGCAACAGGAACAGTCCAGTTTGATATGATGAACTGATATTTTGCAAATTAACGATTTACGATATGGTTTTCCTATTTTACTGAGTAACTCTGTAATTTTCGTTAAATACAATTCGGTTGCCCTCACCACCTGTGTTCTCCTTCATTACATTTGGTGTCGCTGCCTGCACGAAGGAATGAGCTCCCATGGCCGAAGGAGTTGGAGGACGGAGATTTGCGGAGCTTCCTGGAGGAGTTTGAGGCCGCGGTGGAGCTGGTGGGTGTGAAGGGGCCCGGGGCGGAGTTGGCGGTGCTAAGGACGCTGCGGGGAGGTGAGGCGAAGGCGGTATACGACAGCCTGGACGGTGCCGCCGGGAAGACGGCGTGGGAGACGGTCACCGGGCGGCTGATGACGGAGTTCGTCGGCCCAGTTGACAGGGAGGAGGCGCCGCAGAGGTTCCGGTTGGCGAGGCTGTCGGCTGATGGTCACCCGTTGGTGCTGGCTGTGGAGCTCACGATGTTGCCGCGCCGTGCTTGGAGTCGGAGGCACAGTTGCTGGTGTCGCGATTCATCGAGAGTGTGCCTGCAGCCGTGTCCCAGCAGCGGGAACTAGTAAACGCAGCATGGTATGATCAAGTGTACTGATCGGATCATTCTACTATGTGCTTATCCTACTTACTATAATAACACTTACATTGTGTGGTCAGCTTAATTTAATGATACTGTGGTGCGAGCTACTTATAAGTAGTATGTGACGTGATTTACGATTTACGATATGGTTTTCCGATTTTACCGAGTAACTCTGTAATTTTCGCTAAATACAATCCGTTTGCCCCACCTGTGTTCTCCTTCATTACAGTTGTAATTGTCATACATTCTAACTTAAACTATTACTCTCGTGAATTGACTAATTTAATGCAAGACCGAAAGTCTTTGATTCTAATCTTGCGAGTTGTAGGAGTCGTGGAGGTCCATTGTTGATTAGTCCCATCTCAGGGCGAAACAGCAGTCAAGAGCTTCCAGGTTTTCTAATAGTGGTCTAACAATAATTGATTAATGATTTCAGTAAGTAAAAAACAACTGTCACAAGGTTATTAATGTGTAGATATATGTACGTAAACTTACAGTATTTGACAAACATTCAGAATTCTCTTCAGATTTACACAATATTCGTTGAGTATCTTTTAAAGATGATTTTAACTGATCATAATTCGATTGAAATGGATCGAATAACAACTCATTTGAACTTATTTGTTTAGTATGATAAAGTTTTAACAATGCATTATAATAATCATTCAATATTTTATTCTCTAAACATGAAGAAGAAGATTGTATTTTATCGTAATTTTTAACTTCTTGTGTAGTAGTAGTAGTTGTTGTTGTTGTAGTTGTTGTAGTTAAATTTATTGATTTACATCCAATATCTTTCAACTGTTCATTGTTCAATTGATCAATTGATGATTGAACATATGTAGGATATATATTACTATTATTCAATGAAGATAAAGGAGGAAGGACTTGTTGTTGTTGTTGGATTTTATCATTGTTCAATGTGAATGTTTCAGATTTTTGTTGTTTATTTAATAAATGCCATGGTGTATTCGCTAAGTCTAGTGTATTTTGACAAGTGAAATTGATTTGTTTACGCCAACGAGCTCGTCGATTACTAAACCATACCTATGTAAATAAATAAATCGTAATATATTGACAGCCAATAAAAAAACATTACAGGGGTTGTGAAGATTGTTAAGTTACACATTTTTGAAACCATGAATCGATTAATGTTAGACCACCACTAGGAACCTGGAAGCACTGGCTTCGTGAGGAATCTTCTCCGAGTTCTAGTGGGAAGACGTGACAAGTGAAGTTCAACCTGTTCGGGTGTAGACAGTAACTACTACCGAAGACTGTGTATGAGGTTGCGCAACTCCGTGAATTGATCAAGTTAGACATTAACACCGTTAGATACCGGCTCAGTGGTCTAACGGTTAGGGCGTTCGAGCACCATACCGAAGGTCCTGGGTTCGAATCCTGCGGGATGCAGGAGTCGTGGATGCGCACTGCTGATGATTCAGTCCCATACCAGGACGAAACGGCCGTCCAGTGCTTCCAGGTTTCTAGTGGTGGTCTAACATCGATCGATTCATGGTTTCAAAAATAAAAAACAATCTACGATAGAACAATATGGTTGACCTTGAATGATTCTTGCAGTGACCTTGAAACAGTTATGCCTACTAAATCAACCAATGAAAAGTCAGCATGAATTAAAGAAGTTCAAGTTAATGAAGTCTATGTAACATTTAAGTGTTATGATTTATACTATTGTTTATATGGTATGCTTATTATCGAACAATAATAACTTGAGTTAAAGTGTTAATTTTCGAAAAAACTAATGACGTTTTATGGGTTCGTGGTTGTAGACCGGCAGAGAGTAGCACACATAGTGTAGAGAACGAGAATACAGGTGGGGCAACCAAATTGTATTTAACGAAAATTATAGAGTTACTCAGTATAATAGGAAAACCATATCGTAAATTGTTCATTTGCAAAATATCAGTTCATCATATCGAACTGAACTGTTCCTGTTGCAAAACATCAATCCATTGTCACTCACTGTTCATGCGTTTCATACAAATTCCATTATTTTCTAACTCTTCCTTTCTTGATCTTCCCCCAATATTATGCGACCAGACTTTACGTTTTCACTCACGTCATATACTACTTATAAATAGCTCGCACCACAATAGGACAAATTAGCTCTTCAATGCTCAATAGTTTTTTCATTGTGATACAATTGAGTTTAATTCATGATAAAATTTATATTTTTTTAATTTCGTAATATTCATTTCAAAAATTGATCCCAACTGATGAATTATTACAAGTTGAGAAGTGTTGAAAAGTTGTTTCATGTTAGTTTAGGATTTTTCTGGAAAAATTAAATTTTGATCACGATATCGTTTAATGAATACGATATGTTTGATGATATTTGTGTAGAATGTCATTGAAATATCCGCAACTAAACTATTCAATTCAAAAAGCATGAAATTATCAACAGTACCCACCCGACCTGCAAATATGTATATTAAGTAACTTGTTGTCTCATTCGTCAATTCATGGCTTCTCCCTAAAACTTCAAGAATTCGCTCACAAAGCTATTCACTAGTGAACACATGAATAATGTCAAGTTACGGCTGTGGAGATTATCGAATAGATCAATATTAGACATTCATCAGAAAACTAGGACTCATAACCAGTGCACGTGCACGAACCCATACGAGGGAATCAAACCCAGGGCCTATGGTTTAGCATGCAAACGCTTAACTTGTAAACCAATGAGCTGGAATCCATCGGTAATAATGTCTAATTTGAATCAGTTCACCTATTGTGTTCTTCTGGTAACTGCTTCACACTAACCATGGTTGAACTACGCTTATCACGAAGTTTCAGTCACTAGAGAAGTACATGATAAGTGCCATTATAGGGGAGATTGTTGAGTTCGAAAAAATTATAGTTTATTAGTAATTGCCTTCATGAGCATATTCTTGTAGTTCTAGTAAGAAAGTCCAAGGTAGTTAGTTATCCATATCGAAATGATCTGTCAATTATTAGCTTAATAAGTGAGACATTTCTATCAGAATGTTGAGAAATTCTTTTTCAAGTTAATAACACTCATAACTTCAACTGTATAAGTGAATCAGTAAGTTTATTTCTCTCTCATTATCAAGTCTCTTCAATTAGATATAATTAAGGTTAGGTGTTCACATACTCAAGACCGAAGGTCCTGGGTTCGAATCCTGTGAAAAGCAAGAGTCATAGATGAGCACTGCCTGTTGGAGATGTTAGATCCCCAGAACTCGCTTGATAAATTTCTTAATTTTGGATTTCACGTTTGCCAGCATGGGCTGATCAGTTGACCTTGAGATTTCATTTCCCACCAGCAAAATCCATGGCTGTGATTGGCTGCTGTGTCATTTTAGTGTGCTATTTTCGTAACTGTCCCAAGGACGTTTCTATGATGTATAAATAAACGAGAGTTGTGTGCTTGATTGTATTGTGTGCTTGCTGGGTGTTTGTAGAATATACTTTCTACGCTTACAAAGGCCTTCTATCTTCAGCTTGGGATTCAAGGTAGCTTATCTGGACGCTGGTTCATTGTCTCGTCCACGTTTGTCGACTACTAAGGTGAACTCATAATAGCTTCAAGTGTACCTAGTGACGAACCCTACAATGCCATTGATCATGGATAGTCCCATACATCATCAGGATGAAATGGCTTCCAAGTTTCTACTAATGATCTAACATTGATCTTTGATTTTATTATGATTTCTATGTGTTTAAAAAAAATATCATAAAAAAAAACCAAGTTTTTTTTAAATATTACAGATTAATTAGTTTTGATTCATTTTATTTTATTTTTTTTCACAATTTTTTTTTGGTTTTTATTTAAAAAATTAATTATGTTTGCATTACGGGGTTGTGAAGATAGATTGTTAAGTTACACATTTTTGAAACCATGAATCGATCGATGTTAGACCACCACACCACTAGAAACCTGGAAGTACCGAAGGACGGCCGTTTCGTCCTGGTATGGGACTCCTCAGGAGTGCGCATCCACGACTCCTGCACCCCACAGGATTCGAACCCAGGACCTTCGGTATTGTGCGCGAACGCCCTAACCGTTAGACCACTGAGCCGGTATCTAACGATGTTAATGTCTAACTTGATCAAATTCACGGAGTTGCGCAACCTCATACACAGTGTTCGTTAGTTACTGTCTTCCATCCGAACAAGTTGAATTTCACTGGTCACGTCTTCCCACCCACTAGAACTCGGAGACGATTGCTCACGAAGCTAGTCACTAGTGAGCACAGGTAATTTGGATTACGGGGTTGTGAGGATTCTTAGGTTACATATTTCGCTCACAATACCGAAGGTCCTGGGTTCGAATCCTGCTGGGTGCAGGAGTCGTGGATGTGCACTGCTGATGAGTCAGTCCCATACCAGGACGAAACGGCCGTCCAGTGCTTCCAGGTTTCTAATGGTGTGGGTCTAACATTGATCGATTCAAGGTTACAAATAAAACTTAACAATCTTCACAACAACCCCGCAATGCAATTACATGTGTCCACTAGTGACTAGCTTAGTGAGGAATCTTCTCCGAGTTTTCAAGTGGGAAGTCGTGACCAGTGAAGTTCAAACCTGTTCGGATGTATCCAGAGTATGAGGTTGCGCAACTCCATGAATTGATCAAGTTAGACATTAACACCATTAGATACCGGCTCAGTGGTCTAACGGTTAGGGCGTTCGCTCACAATACCGAAGGTCCTGGGTTCGAATCCTGCTGGGTGCAGGAGTCGTGGATGTGCACTGCCACTGATGGGTAGTCCCATACCAGGAAGAAACGGCCGTCTTACAGTGCTTCCAGGTTTCTAATTGTGTGGGTCTAACATTGATCGATTCAAGGTTACAAATAAAACTTAATAATCTTCACAACAACCCCCGCAATGCAATTAAAATAATTAATTATATATTTGTACTCGAAATGATTATTTATTTTAATAGTAAATATTTTTTTTTAAAAAATGAACAGATTTTTTTTTGTTTTATGTCAATGTGGTAGGTAGGTATGTATGTATGTTTCTTGTTTCAATGAACTTTCAATTAAGTAAGGGTTAATTACAATATTATGTATATATGAATAGAGCCAAAGAAGAATTTGGCAATTAGATGATTGACCTATCATTATTTCATAATGTAGTGCTTTGAATGAAATAATGTGAATTATGATAAAATATTATGATAGAGTTTCGTTCTCTTTGAGCTCGATATTTTTGATAGTTGTGGAGCTTTCGTTGTTCTTCGTCTGAACAATGAACATCATCATCATCAGCAGTACAAACTTCAGATCGGTCAGTGAAGTATTCGAATTTCTCCATACATAAATAACTTATAAGTAGTATATGGCGTGAGTGTCAGTCAACGTAATGTCTGGCAACAGAAGATGGGGGGGGGAAGATCAAGAAAGGAAGAAGAGTGGGAACACACAATGGAATTTGTATGAAACGCATGAATAGTGAAATGTCAGACAATGGATTGATGATGGATTGAAGATTTGCAAATTAACGTTTACGATATGGTTTTCCTATTTTACTGAGTAACTCTGTAATTTTCGTTAAATACATTTCGGTTGCCTCACCTGTGTTCTCCTTCACTACATTAGTAGTAGTAGTAGTGGCTGCCAGTAGGGTCTAAGAAGTTTAGTTTTGTTCAGTTTTAGAGTTTAGCAATTAGATGGACCTACCAATTTATAGTGTTCATATATAGGTTTGGGATTAAAATTCGTTTAATGCTGCCTGGAGCCCTTCTACAGGGTTACCGCCGATTCCAAGCTAAGATAAAAGAGGCGAATTGGGGATGGGTTTAGTGACTGCATCACGTAGATTTCGTGTAAGGTTTTAGTCTCAATTTGAACACTAACATTCGGATCCAAATGAATCTATCCGAAGAATGTCACATATTAGACGTAAAGCACATTGACCAAATTCTACTGTTAGATGTATGCCGAACGGATTAACTTGTATGAAAACAATATATCAGTGAAATTCACTTAGAATGTAATTAATACCAGTAGAGATTCTTTAGTTGTAGCTCTGAATAATTAAACAAGGATACTACTCCTAACTCATATCTCATATGATGGTTAGGCGTTCGCGCACAATACCGAAGGTCCTGTGTTCGAATCCTGCGAGGTGCAGGAGTCTTGGATGCGCACTGCCACTGATGAGTCCCATACCATGACGAAACGGCCGTCTTTCAGTGCTTCCAGGTTTCTAATGGAGTAGTGGTCTAACAATGATTGATTGATGATTTCAAATGTGTAAAAACACAAACCTCCAAAACTCTGCCTCGAAATATCTTATATAGTTTGGAAAATCAAAATGTCACTATTGCAATAAAAACAAATACCGACATGAGACCAAGGGTATTAAAGGTGTTTGAGGTCATTGGCTTCAAGCTGTATTGCATCCCTTACTACCCTACGTCGTACGATGTATAATACCTTAAGCTATATTGTTTTGTAGAGCTGAAAGTTTCTTATGAGACTAGAAGTTCGTTGTGAATATTGTGTATGGTTTAGGATTACTTTGTTATGTTGTGATAACTAAACATTTACAAATTAGGTTTGCTCCGCAATCGATTTCATTGATACTGGTGGTTGCTTTGGAACATTCCCTAATGGCATCGTCACTGGGACCGTGTAATGCCTATCTCTGTAGCTAACAATTATGAGTTTGTCTGTTATATGAGCGGGATACGTCAAATTGGCTTGTTCATGCTGTACATGTTGATTGACATGATCATCATGCAAGATCCATTTTTGGAAGGTTTTGTTTTGTGAACATCCCCTCTCCATGTTGTATACATTTGTAATTTGTTCTTATTGATCATTCCTTCCGTTGTACGTTTTGTTAATCTGTTCGATTCCATTTTGAGATGATAATATTTGTATTTTATTATTATAGTTTCTATTTCTTTTGCCCTCACTGAGTTTCTACGTTTCTTTCTGAATTGCATTTATGTTGTTTAAGCTGATACTTAGTTATGGCGACAGCCATTTTGATTTGTTCCTCTTTTGATTGTGTTGCCTGCTTGGACTGAAATTGTGAATTTTGATTGTAAATTGAATCAATTTTGCAGAATAGGAAACACCCTGTGTAATAAAGCAACCAAATATTATCTTTTGAACGAATCTGATCTATCCAGGAGGGATAGAATATCATTTATTTGTTGCTGGTGATTTGATTAATTGAACAGTTGTTGTTGGAATATCTAAGTGGTAATATTTGTTTAGGTAATGATGTATATATTTATATTTATGATGACTATTAGAACCATCATTTACCCAAATCACTTGTGTTTTGGATTTCAACTGGGCAATAGCGCTTATCTAAACTACCTAAACAGTTGTTATCCCTTAGCCCTAACCTTAGTTTGGATCCTACAATCATTAAATCTATTAATGTGCATAACTGATGTGAATTGTCCATCAGGGTACTTACTACCAACCTCTGTGGTTAAACCACAGGATTAGTAATGCTTGGATGGTGTCTAACCCGACCGTAGCTGCTATCTTGACGTGGTGGTCGGGCTTGCCTATCGTCATGATCCAGCTGAGCTATATGGACTGGAACATATATTCCTGAAGGTTCTATCATGCCACACAGGTCGATTGGAGAACGATCAGACTAAAAAGTAGCTACTTAAGGTCTGAGGGCGAAGTCGTACTGTTGACTGCAGAGGGGTGTGACAGCAGTAAGGTGTTTCCCTCGGACAACCAACATCTGCAGTGATGCTGCCTTCTCACAAGGAAGGAAGGAAGGTTTAGAAAAGGTCGACCCTAAAAATGTCACACCTCACCCTACATCATGGATTTCCGTCTCCTTGGGTAAGGGTGCCCACTATGGGCCTTTAAGAGCGGAGCTAATCCTCAAAAAACCCTTCATAAAGTGGCCATGCGTGACGGGCCTGAAGCAGTTATCCCTTGGACTCTGCGGTCACGCATCCAGGTCTCTAAGGCCAACACTAATCTACTTTCCTTTTCAGGTTCTTCAAGAAACAACCTTCCACGGTGTGGGCAGCCGGGAAGTGACAACCGCCCTCATACCCATAACAGCACACGAGAAACCAAATTGGTCAAAATCAACTCCTTCTGTCTGGATAGTGTCTGATTCTCTTGGAAATCAGTGTAGGAATAGATTTGTATGTTTAGAGTTATAATAATATTAATAATAATAAGTTAACTGTGTATTTATCTAACAATTATTTTCAATCTCGAATTAATTTTACTCTCTCTCTCTCTCTCCGTCAAATAATGTTTCATTTTGAAAATTATACACATTTTCATTGTTTCCAATGAAAAATAAGTCACAAATCTCGTGATAATAACCACAAGATTTCAAGTATCAATATTATTTTTATTCTGTTTGTATGTTGTACTAAATGTTCTGGGTAGTAGTAGTAGTAGTAATAGTAGTAGTAGTAGTAGTAGTAGTAGTGTAGTAGTAGTAGTAGTAGTAGTAGTAGTAGTAGTAGTAGTAGTAGTAGTAGTAGTAGTAGTAGTAGTAGTAGTAGTAGTAGTAGTAGTAGTAGTAGTAGTAGTAGTAGTAGTAACAGTAGTAGTAGTAGTAACAGTAGTAGTAGTAGTAACAGTAGTAGTAGTGGTAGTAGTAGTAGTAGTAGTAGTGGTAGTAGTAGTAGTAGTAGTAGTAGTAGTAGTAGTAGTAGTCGGAGTAGTAGTAGTAGTAGTAGTAGTAGTAGTACTAGTAGTACTAGTAGTAGTAGTAGTAATAGTAGTAGTAGTAGTGGTAGTAGTAATAATAATACATTTTATTTCGAAAAAAATCCTCCATTATTATTGTTATTATTATTATTATTATTACTATGATTATTATTACTGTATTTTTCGAACAACTTTTAAACTCTTATTATCTATCAGATTGAATCATGTGATTTTTTTTTGTGCATGACATGAATTTTTAAGTAACAATTTGTGTTGTGTAAAAAAAATTTATCAAGAAAATAAAAATTGATAAGAAACTACTATTCAATTGATATGAAAAAATAATTGATAAGGAGTGAAGTTGTCGAGCATGTCGACGACCGCTTGCTTCAGTTATCTCGAGAGTTTCATTAACGTTGATGAGCTGATGATGACTGACGAATTCTTCGCACGGATATAGAAGGCTCGATTTACGTCATTTATGGCGTAGGCGAGATATTTGTTTGTTAAACATAGGACGAATGTACTGTGCAGTAGCTCGTCGCTCGATCCTACGATATGGATCCCGGTAAGAGTAGAAGATATTCGTAGGTTACTAGTATTGGATTATAGGTGGTTCCGAAGCAACCGAGTAAACAATGGTGCCATTAGGAAGCGAGTACTAGGTAAGTATGGCAGATCAATAGATGAAGTAGTGAAACTTCGTCAGTTGAGGTGGTTGGGACATGTACTGCATATGCCCGATCACCAACTGCCTCGACGAGCTATGCTTTGTGATGTAGGAGTAGGTTGGAAGAAAGTTAGGGGTGACCATGTTGGGGATGTTAGATCCCCGAAATTCGCTCGATAATGCCGTATTTTGGTTTTCACGCTTTGCCGGCATGGGCTGATCAGATGACCTTGAGATTTCAATTCCCACCAGGAAAATCCATGGCTGTGATTGGCTGCAGTGTATTTTAGTGTGCTATTTTCGTAACTATCACAAGGACGTTCTTATGTTGTATAAATAAACGAGAGTTGTATGCTTGATTGTACTGTGATTGCTGGGTGTTTGTAGAATATACTTTCTACGCTTACAAAGTCTTTTCACTTCAGCCTCGGATTCAAGGTAGCCTCTCTGGAAGCTGGTAAAAGTCTCGTTCGCGTTTATCGACTGAGGTAAACTCGTAATAGCCTCAAGCATACTAAGTGACGAACTTATCAGACCAGATCAAAACATGGCAGAAATCCATGAAGTGTCACTGACAAGTGGACTGAGTCATGTTTGTAGATGTAGGCTGTATGGTTGGGGTCCGCGAGACGAAAGCCATCAATGGTTAGAGACCTTGAATGACATGGCTCCAAATCGTTTGCAATGGCGCAGGTGCATCCACTCTTTGTGTTTTCTCCAATCCTAATCTTCTGAATTCCTCATCACCTCTATCTTTCTCTTTTTCTAATTTATCTCCCTGAATAGTACTTCTTGAATATGGTCTTCGAATCCTAATCTTCTCCATTACCAGTAATACTTCTACTATCTCTACCACTATGTGATTTGAATTAACAATTGCGTCTCTTTTCTAACGTGGTATGGCAATCTGAACTGATGTACTTATGTACGAAGTCCCACGTTGTAAACTGACTAACTGACTGACTGACTGACTGACTGATATGAAATTAACAATCTGCGAATATTATGCTTAGTATTATTGATCATTAGCATAAACCCACTGAACCCATTGAACTTGATATGTTCTCATTATTTATATTTATTTATTTAAGATAAACAAATTTTGGTTTGAATGATTCGCATTTCATGGTTTTTTTTCATATGTCTTCGTTTATTTATCTTTGCCAGATGATAATTAAACAGTAGAGATTTAAACAAAATATCCTGTTGGTTTAATTTCTTCATTCCTTTTTTTATTGATTGATTTCGCTGTTTTTCTCAAAAAAACATTAAACAACATCTCGCTCGATATTGTTATTTCTTAAAATTGTTTTTTCTCTTCATGTCAAGATAAAAATCGGATTCATACTATTAGTTTTCGTATAGTTAACGTTGCCTAGACAACTGGGCGATCATATTACTACTGCTTGAACATTGATCAATCATAAAAGCGTTGTTAATCGGATCAATACAATAAGCATTGTTTATTAAGTGTTCTAGCTATTGTTTGATAATGTTATTATTTAAAAAAAAGAGTATAAGAATCCTTGTTGTTTTTAAATATTAGAAAAAAAATATCTTGCAGATAAAAAAATTTCTCACCCAATAGTTTGATACTCATTCAATAGTTCAATGACGCCATGTTCATTTGGCCTTGACTGACAAACTATTGAACATTTATGATTTTTATTTAGTGTTTTAAATGTTACTACTTATAAGTAGTTAATATTTTTTAGAAAAAAATTATTGAAAATATTGTTAACTTGAAGAATATAATATTTCCACAGGTAATTTTTTCACTGAACTATTTAATTCAGAGTTGACTGGTGTATTTTGGAATGCACAGAGTATATGAATGAGGTGTAATAAATTTAAACCGTTCATTTAGAAATCATAAATCGACTGTTTCAATATTAGTGAACTTTAGTTTACTATGATTCTGAATGATTGCAATCGTAACGGATACTATCTTACACATATATATTCGTGACTTTATTGACTTAAAAATTTCATCACACTTGTCATAGGGACAATAGTTAAATGAAAGTGAATCATTATAGGAATTGTTGAGTTTCGTTGAATTCATAAACTCTTCACTATCAAACCATCATTGGAAACCCGAAAGTATTGGACAGCGGTTTTGTCTTAGTGCGTGACTCGTTGGCGGTGTACACTCATAACCCCAGATGATGGAATATAATTCGGCACCTCCGATCTAACTCGCGAACACTTAACCTATAGATCACCCGAGCAGATATGCAGCGGTGTTAATATACAACTTGAATGAATTCACAATACTGCGTAATCACCCCACCGTTGTCTTCGGTGGATATGTGCTTCATGCTGACACTATTGAACTCCATTGGTTACGGCCTCTCACTATAACTCTGAAGAATCTCCTCACGAAGCTAGTCACTAGTGAACACATTAAAACTGTTGCATACCGGCTCACTTGTTAAGACGTCAAGCGTTTGAATGCAAGACCATAGGTCATGGGTTAGATTCTTGCATGGTGGGTTCGTGAATGAGCACTACTCATGAGTGGCAAACTGATATGAAACACCCATCCTGTTCTTTCATGTTTCTTAAGTTTATCTAACAGTATTCAATTCATGAACTCAATTACAAACATTATGATCGAAAACGCATATAATATCACATCGATTAAGATTAGATTTGTTTTTAATTTTTGTTTAAAAATTAAAACCATTGCTTACTTGAATTTTACACTCAGGTAAATTTGTTTGATAGGCAAGTGTTTCACGTAGTTGTAAATCAGGATAATGTGTATGTTGAAAAGCTAATTCAAGGAATTCCACCTGTGAATAATACAAAAATAAACAAATGATAGAGGGAATGTATGTGAAGAGATATTTCATACAAGTTATAAGTTAAGCGATAATAAATAAATCAATCCCATGATCTTAGGATATTCATCCAATATCCTAAGAGAATTATTGGTCAATTCCTGTTGGTTAGTTCTTACTGGTCAATTTTATGGTCGTCCTAGATATCAATGTCACGTGCTCCAATGTTGTTTCCAATTCGACCAAAATGTATAAACACGCATTATCTGTAACGTTTTATGACCAGGACCCGGTCCGGGATCCTGATTCTCTTCTGGACTCGGAATTCGTACTTTCTGGATGCTTGCAGAATACAGGTTCTACTTCATATCAAGTTTTCTTATTTTTACTCAATATGAGTGTTGGGAAAATCGGATTAGAGTAGCATGTCGTGTCACCGGATCCTCGATCCTCGTTCTCGTTTTCCGACTAAGGTAAACTCGTATTAGTTGAAGTATATCAAAATGACGTGTTTATATGGAGGTATAACACATGAGAATAGCTATTGTTATCATGTATGCAGTCAGTACTTCAGATTGTATGATTAATATGAAGTAGAATTTTCAAATGTTAATTTATACCTGTTAAAGAGTTTGAATGATTTGGTTGAACATTGAATTGCTGTACCGTTCAACCAATCAGCATCGATCATGTGATTGTCTTTTCATTGGTTCAAATGAAAAGAGTTTTTACTTTAACTTATACCAGTTTTTTTGACATTTGCAGATGATGTTCTATATTGTTTTTTTTCATATTCATTTAACCAATCGTAATTTCTGACGACTCACATGTTCTCATATCAAAATCAGACAAAGTCGATTATCAATACTCGGTATTATTTTGATTCGTTATTCACATGATTAATTAAGAAAAAATATATTAGAATAACAGCGTTGAGATAAACTCTAGCGGTTTTTTTAAAAATTGATATTAATGGCGCGAGACCGAAGGTCACAAGTGGGGAGGGTCATGGATAGACACTGCTAATGAGTTTCATACAAGGACAAAATAGCTGTCCAGTGCTTCAAAGTTTCTAATGGTTGGTCTAGCCATATTCAAATCCGCTAAAGTTCCCTGTAGATATTTCAAAAACCAATAACATAAAAATTCTTCTATATGACGCGAAACCTTATTGAACCCTTCAGAGATGCAAATAATCTTTCATGAGTCGGTAATTATTCGAAATTGACTATGAAACCTGGCATATAGACTCCTCATGGCTCATTTGAGAGTCAGAAGGAAACTATGATACTTGAACGGTAGGAGTGGACTCATTACCCACTCCAATATGGAACGATTAACATGAGTCCATTCTCCGAGGGTAGATTAATAAGACCGTCACTTATTTTGTAATTACTCCACAGGGTTTATAACTTATCTCAGTTTTGTTTTGTATATTTGTCTTGTGAACTACTTTTATGAATATTTTTCAGTGAATTCAGTACTATATTATGTTTTAAATGATTTTATTTTGAGTTGATAACAACATGCAAACAGAAAAGTATTAATTATGAGTTAACATAGGTATATTTTGGGAGAAAAAGGAATGTTCTAGCATATAAATGTATTCTGTTACTTGTTTTATCAAGAAAAGTCACTTAAAATTCGATGAATACTTTTCTTTTGTCATTTATCATAAATCGATTTTATGATTTATCATTATAGAATTATGAAGAGAGTTGTTTTACATTGAAATCGTGAATCAATCATTGTTAGACAACCATTCCAAATCTGGAATCATCAATGGATGGACGTTTCGTCCTAGTATGGGACTCGTCAGCAGTGAGTATCCAAAAATCCCGCTTAGGAGACCCAAACAAAGACCTTCAATGTCGTGTACAAAATCCTTAGGTTGATCAAAGTGAGACATTAACGCCGTTGGATGCCGGCTTCGTGGTATACATGTTAAGTGCGTTAGACCGTAGATCTTTGGTACGACTCCTGGGGTCGTAGGTCGTAGGCATGCACTACTGATGAGTTCCGTACTAGGAAGAAACGGCCTTCCAATGCTTCCAGGTTTCGAATGGTTTACTCGACATTTCATGTTGAAAACAGAAAATCTTGATTCGTAAATATACTACTGCTTATTAATAAGTAGCAACGAATTTAACTGCCAAGAAAACGATTTTTCTTATTAATCTCAAACGTTTGTGTTTATTCCTTAATATTCATTTACTGGTTTATCGCTACAAACATAGTTATAAATGACATCAGTGGAACACAGAGGGGCATCCAAAGACTATCTTTACCAGAATTCAACATTATATGGGAAATTACGTATTGGAGTACATGTAAGTCTTAACTGTATTTTTTGAAACCATGAATCGATCAATGTTAGACAACCATTAGAAACCTGGAAGCACTGGACGGCCGTTTCGTCCTGGTATGGGACTACTCATCAGCAGTGCGCATCCACGACTCCTGCACCCCGTAGGATTCTAACTCAGGACCTTCGGTATTGTAGGCAGATACCTTACCGTCGGACCACTGAGCCGGTATCTAACGGTGTTAATGTCTAACTTGATAAATTCACGGTTTCAAAAATGTATAACTTAACAATCTTCACAACCCGGTAATGCAGATTAACTGTATTTGTTGAATTTTGGATATTTATTGTCATCAATTAGGTTTATTCACCTATAAGGGATTGATTATAAAACATAACGTGTTAGTCACAGTAAGGGGAGGTTGTTTATAGCTTACTTCTTACTTAATTTATCTATCGTTAGAATTGAAATCTAGGACAAAGAAATCTAAAAATAATTGTTAGTACTTTAGTGGCCCGAGATTTGAATCCAATTTTGACCAACAGTTAAATATGCAATTCCCCTCAATTCCTGGATATCATGCTTAGGGAACCCCATTTATGAGACGGCGGTGATTAAGAAGCCGAATAGGGTTTTATGAATGAGTTTTATTTCATGCAATCCTTCACGCAAACAGACAATGCGTAAAAGCAAAGTAAAGTGAAGTGGAGAAGGAGAGTGAGCCAACTTAGTTTGACGAGGCATGGCTAAGTACGTATGGTCAGACAATGATCAGCTATACATATGATGATTGAAGTGAGCAGCACACATACTCAAATAAAAACAACCAAGATGTAAGCAGATAATTGACAAGGACGATGGACGAGTGAATAACAACTCGGACAAAAGAGGTTAATTAGTATGTCTGAAAGCTAGAATAGGTCCTTTTGGCTCAACAAATCCGTACGCACACTACATTACATTGTCAACTGTAAACAAATCTCATTGAATTCATGAATCAGTCATTTTTAGGCCACCATTAGAAACATGAAACCAGTGGACGGCCGTTTCGTCCTGGTGTGGGTCTCAACAACGATGCGCATCCACTACCTACGGTCTTGAGCGCGAACGTTCAAACTTTAGACCTTTGAGCCGGCATCCAACAGTGTTAATATCTAACTTTTAGCAATCTAAAGTATTACACAACCAGTGGAGTTCAACCCTGTCAAGTGTAGGTAGTTAGATACCGAATACGATCTATGAGGTTGTGCAATATTTTGGATTGACTAAAAGTCAAACAATAACACCATTGGATGACGGCTCAGTGGTTCAGAGGTTAAGCGTTCAAGCAAAAGACCGGAGGTCCTTGGTTAGATTCCCGCTAGTGGGGAACATGGTTGTGCACTGTCGATGAGTCCCATACCGGCTAGGAGGAAATGGTCGTCTTTCAGTGCTTCCAGGTTTCTACCTAATGGTGATCTAACAATGATCGATTCATGATTTCAATGAAAGTAGTGAATCTGAAAGAATCATAAAATGTGTTCCAAACGATAGAATATTTATATGATAAATGACTCGAAAGTTCTAGAAGAAAAAACGATCAGTATCCAGAATTAGGTAATGGTGACAACAACAACAACAACAACAACAACAAAGGCGGATTGATTTAAGCCAAAGGATGAATGAAGCTCATATAAAACTCAGAAATTTATCAATAACCAATACTATTTATACATTTGAAATCGTCAGTCAGTCATTGTTAGGCTACACCATTAGAAACCAGGAAGCACTGGACGGCCGTTTCGTCCTGTTATGGGACTCATCAGCAGTGCGCATCCACGACTCCTGCATCTCGCACGATTCGAACCCGGGACCTTCGGTATTGTGTTCGAATGCCTAAACATCGGACCACTGGGCCGGCATCCAATGGTGTTAATGTCTAACTCTGATTGATCTAGGGATTTTGCGCGACCTCACCAATTTGTCTTTAGTAGTTAGTGCCTACACCCGACAGGGTTGAATTCCTCCACTGGTCACGTCTTCTCAACTAGAATTCCGAGAATTTCCTCACGAATCTAGTAGTCACTAGTGAGCACTGTTACGATATTTTGTGGCAGAGGTTTTGAGGTTTGTGTTTTAACACATTTGAAATCATCAATCAATCATTATTGATGAGTCCCATACCAGGGCGAAACGGCCGTCTTCCAGTGCTTCCAGGTTTCTAATAGTGGTGGTCAACTGTGATCAAAATCCAAAATTAGAACCTTTTTTCAAGTGAGTTCTGGTGATCTAACGTCCCCACATTACATAATCATCATCATTATCAATAAAAATTGATTATTAACCCAAGAATAAAATAAAAATAATTCCTAAAAATTACTTGTTTCTCAGAAAATGTTGTTCTATTTCGTTTTCCCATAAAATTCACCCCACCGGGATCATTCAACATATCATCATTTGATAAAGATGATTCAGGTGAACATATATATTGATCATTTAACGCTGTTGGACTTGTATGATGTGTACAATTTTTCTGTAGATTATTTATAGTTTGAAAATCATTGTTTGATTTGTTAATTTGTTTAAGATTTGTACAATGTTCAATGAAATCATCATGACCATCATCATCATCATTATGATCATGTTGATTTGGCATTGTCGATGATGAATTTAAAGGATAATTTGAATTTGTCGATTGATCTATTGATCGTTTACATTGAACACTACGATCCATATTGAATGATGAATTTGTTTGAGTACAATCAGTTGATGACTGACATGAATAATAATTTTTAGTGTTTGTTTTTTTACTACTTAACATTAAATCAATAGTATGCATTGATTTGTCTTCAGTTGAATATTTCAAATCTGTCGATTGGAATTAATTTTTTGGTGGGGGGGGGGGAAATAAAGTAAACAAAATGTGAAAAATTTAGAAATAATCATTGATGTTAACTGATTGTTAGAAATTATCAGGCCTACCGATAAGTGTACACATAAATAACATGAAAGCTTACTGGATCATTTACAGTTTTGTACAACATTTAAGGAGAAATTGATTTGTGTGTTGTGGAGATTGTTAAATGTTATGGAAAACGTCAGAGACTGTTCTTATTTCAAAAAATTCTGAAGACTAGAAGTCATTGGAGAGTAATGTCGATCTAGGATAGGACACTACAGGTGGGCGCATATGATGTATAAATTACTGGCTCTGTGATCCAGAAGATCAAACACCCTCAGAAAGAGCTGAAGGTTCTCAATTCAATCTTAGATTGGGCCATGTATGTATGTGCACTGTTGAGGAGTCTCGTACCTAGAAAAAACGGATTTCTCAGCTCTTCCTGATTTTCAACGCTTATCTAAAACTCAGTGTAAGATCAATTTTTGGAAGGCTTTGTTTTGTGAAAATCCCTCCATGTTGTATACATTTGCAATTGGTTCTTATTTATTAATTCATTCGTACATTTTGTAGATCTGTTCGATTCCATTCCAACTCAGTGTAGGATCCATTTTGAAGGCCTTGTTTGTGAAAATCCCTCCATGTTGTATACATTTGCAATTGGTTCTTATTGATTAATTCATTCGTACATTTTGTAGATCTGTTCGATTCCATTTTGAGATGATAATATTTGTATTTTATTATAGTTTCTATTTCTTTTGCCTTCACTGAGTTTTTATGTTTCTTTCTGAACTGCAATTATGTTGTTTAAACTGATATTTATTGATGGTGACAGCCATATTGATTAGTTCCTTTTTTGATTATGTCCGTTGCTTTGATTGGAATTGTGCATTTTGAAGTGTGAATTGAAGCACTCTTCCAGAATTGGAAACACTCTGTGTTATAAAGCAACCAAAAATTATCTGTCAAACGAATCTGATCTATCCAGGAGGGATAGAATAACATTTATTTGTTGCTATTGATTTGATTAATTGAACAATTGTTGGTGGAACAACTGAGTGGTAATATTTATTCAGGTAATGATGTATGTATTTATATTTATGATAAATATTCGGACCATCATTTACCCAAATCACTTGTTTTGATTTCAACTGGACAAGACACGTATCTAATCTACCTAGACAGTTGTTATTCCTCAGTTGTAACTTCAATTTGGATCCTACAATGATGACTCAATATATTCACCTTTACATCGTCCATTGTGCAACCCAGTCAAGGAAGTTGATGTGTAAAGGTGAATTCCATTTAATTGATTGTTCCACAATGATCCTTACTGTCGCAATTTGGTCGGCACACAATCGATCCTTACGATTTCAAGCTTGACAATCTCGAGGTTGAGTGTCTTTTTAATCTTCTATTCGGTTTAACAACACTGTTGGAAACTCTAACTCAACAGCTCAACATCCAGTGTTCGAGTCCACATACTATTTTAAATACGTCTTGTGAAGCAGTGGCAAACAGCATACCAGAATTCATCTATAATCCTGAATGTGGAAATACTTTTCTGACATGGTTCAAACTTTGGGAAGATACATTTAGAATTGAATTCGGTAAACAAGACGATGCTTGGAAGACTCGATTGTTGCTGCATAAGTTGGGAAGCGACGAATATGCACGTTATGCTGACCACATACTACCGAAGTTACCTCGAGAGCTCAGTTTCGAGGAGACAGTAATTCAGCTGTCAGAGATTTTCAACGAATCATCGTCATTGTTTAGTATTAGATATCAGTATCTAAATCTGGTGAAACACAAAGATGATGAATATGTGTCCCTTACAGACATCGTCAACAGAGAATGTGAATGGTTCAAGTTACGCTCGTTGACAGAAGACCAGTTTAAATGCTTAATATTCATCAAAGCTCTTCAGTCACCGCAAGATGCTGAGATCAGAACAGTCAGGTCATTTCAAACTACGGAATATAAGGATCTTTTTATATACATACTTCCATTATCAATAACTCAAATGACAAAAATCTAACCTAAATTAGAATAAAACTATCATCATCACCAAATTACCGAATGTTTAAACCAAAATAAGAAAAAAATTCAAGTATCGCGGCAAAAACAGTTGAATATTGAACATTGACATTGAACGCTTTCGTCATTGATCAATATGCATTACGGGGTTGTGAAGAGTGTTAAGTTACACATTTTTGAAATCATGAATCGGCTAATGTTAGACCTACACCATTAGAAACCTGGAAGCACTGTGAGACGGCCGTTTCGTCCTGGTATGGGACTCATCAATGCCAGTGAGCATCCACGACTCCTACACCCTGCAGGATTCGAACCCAGGACCTTCGGTATTGTGCGCACTGCTGATGAGTCCCATACCAGGACGAAACGGCCGTCTGTCAGTGCTTCCAGTCTTCTAATGGTTGTCTAACATTGATCGATTCATGATTTCGAAAATGTGTAACTGATCAATATCTCTTATCTCATAGATACTACTTAATTAACTATATAATTCAGTAAGTGATGCTTTAAATTTCTTTTTAATCTTTTATTTCCTAAAACGTGAATTCAACCATCTTCGGTCAGCAAAACAAAAAAAAAGTTACAACTATAACAAACTAATTAAATCACAATGTGTTTCTTCTGTTCAATTTTCAATAAACATTCTAATCAATTATATTATTGAACAACATATTCACAACGTGCTATTCAATGAATTCATAAGATTATTATAATTAATATCGTTAATATTTTATGATCACATTGAAAAATGAAATTTTTGTTTATTTAACTTATTAGTGACTTATGAAAAGAGAGAAAAATCAACAATAATTTTGATGAATTATGATGAATAATAAATAATTTATCTTTTAATCATTTTAACAAATATAATATATATATGTGGAAAATAAATTGACATGTTCATTGTTCAATAAGTACGTGATAGAATTGACTATTGAAGATGAAATTAAATTGAACCGACATTAGCTAATGATAATCAGTATTAGATTAAGATATAAATGTATATTTTGATCAGTCAGCGGTTATGTGTAACGGTGTCTGCTATCTTCGGTGGGCAATGATTCACATACGAATAGGGTTGAACTCCACTGATCTGATATGCTTGTCAAATGATATGCTTGAATGCTATGACGAGTTCACTTTAGTCGGTAAATTGAGAGCGAAGACAAATGATCCAGTGATATGATAGGCTATTCTAATCCAGGCGTCCCAAGGCCCCACTAAGTAGAGGAAGTAGTCTTGATAAGGCCTAGAAAGTGTATTCTACAAGCACCAAGAAAATATGAGGTTCACAAGCACACAAATTGAGTTTATTTATACATGATAGAAACGTTCTTGGGAGAGCCACAAAAATAGCGTACTAAAATAATCCATCAACCTATGACAGTCAAGGAGTTTCCCGAGTGGGAAATGTGATCACAAGGTTAAATGTTCAGCACATGCTCGGAAGCATAAAATCCAAAATTAGAACCTTTATCAAGTGAGTTCTGGGCATCTAACATCCCCAACAGAATCATGACTTCTCACTAGAACTCTGACGGAAACTTCTTCACAGAGTTAGTCACTAGTGAGTAAAGTATAATTTTCATTTTATAAAGTGTTAAACCACCATTTAGAAACCTGAAATCACAGGATGGCTACTCATGGGAATTGAATCCAAGACTTTTGAGTCTCGTGTATGAACTTTCAACCTCATAGATACGCAGTGCTGATGAGTCCCAAACAAGGATGAAACGACCATCCTGTGATTTCAAGTTTCAAATGAAACTCAACAGTCTCCACAATTGTATAGCTATGCGACAAATGTGGTTCTATAAAAAAGAATACATTCACAAAATCAGAGGTGTGAGCACTGAAAGACGGCTGTTTCGTGCCAGTGTATGAGACTACTCATCAGTGGCAGTACGCATCCACGACTCCTACAACTCGCAGTAATCAGACCTTGATCCAAAAACGGCAAAAGAGAAGTCTTGAAGTAGTGTAGAAAGTATATTCTACAAACACCCAGCAAGTACACAATACAATCAAGCACACACAAATCTCGTTTATTTATACATCATACAAACGTCCTTGAGACAGTCACAAAAATAGCACAACACTAAAATACACAGCAGCCAATCACAGCCAAGGATTCTGCTGGTAGGAAATGAAATCTCAAAGTCAACTGTGATCAGCCCATGCTGGCAAACTTGAAATCCAAAATTAAGGCATTTATCAATCGAGTTCTAGGGATCTAACATCCCCAACAGTAAAGATTATTGAGTTACTTATTGAAATCATGAATTGATCAGTGTTCAATCACCATTAGAAACCTCGGATCACTGGATGGCCACTCGTGGGAACTGAATCTACGATGTTCAGCCTCATGCACAAATGCTCAACAATCAATGGAGGTGCACTGTTGATGAGTTCCATCCTAGTGTGGTGTGAGCTACTTATAAGTAGTATATGACGTGAGTGTCAATGTAATGTCTGGCAGCAGAACATGGGGAAAGATCAAGAAAGGAAGAAGAGTTAGAACACAATGGAATTTGTATGAAACGCATGAATAGTGAGTGACAATGGATTGATGTTGTTTGCAACAGGAACAGTCCAGTTCGATATGATGAACTGATATTTTGCAAATGAACGATTTACGATACGGTTTTCCAATTTGAGTGAGTAACTCTGTAATTTTTGTTAAATACAATTCGGTTGCCCTCACCACCTGTGTTCTCGTTCACTACACTAAGACCTCGGATTACTGGATAGCCATTCGTGGGAATTCATTCTGAGACTTTCAGTTTCATGTACAAATGCTCAAAATTTAATGGAGGTGCACTGTTGATGAGTTCCATCCTGAGGACGAAATAGTCTTTCAATGTTTTCAAGTTTTTAATAATAGTAATCCAGCTTAAATTAGTTCATAATTTCAACTAATTGATCTTTTTAAGTTAAAAAAAATGTTTTATTGTGGTCAATTTCAAGTGAATTTTTTTTATTTTTAAACTGATTAATCATATTTTTTTTTAATGACAACATAGTAACAGCATAGTAATAAAAAGTAATTTTCTTAACTTATCATAATCACATTAAAAGAAACCCATGCATACAAATCATAATGCGGGTACACTTTCATCATTTTATTATGCCCCTAATTTGTTATGTTAATGCAATACAAATTCTTTAAAAGCTTATCCTTCTTCTATCTCTCTCTCTTTCTGTGTGTAAGTGTTCTTCCTCATTCAGTCACTTATCCATCCATTTACTCACTTCATTCACTCACTTATACGATAAATTTATTCATTAAAAGTTTTTGCCCGCCAAAAACAAACGGAAAATTT